CCGGTGGTGGCTACTGTGATAGGCGGCAAAGAATTGGAATCATTTAACTGTATTTACACACATATCTATACCTACCATCGACTCTCTCAATTTTATGGCATCCTCAAAATAGATACATGTGCTTGTATCGAGTCACTTGTACTGGTGAATCCGAAGTGTCTCCGTGGTGTGCATTGGCATACACCGGGTGGCTACATACTTAAGAGACTGGTTCACATATCTCCAGTAATTTAGCGAGGGATCCTTGTGGATCTGTATACGTACATGATGTGTGATGCTACCAAGTAAGGTCTCGATGTGCGCCTCGCAGCAAGGAGTGAGAAAGACTTGTGCACACTTCTATCAGCTGTCGAATTTTTAACTGTACTGACGCCAACAAGGACGTGCTGACAGGCATCACACAACCACAGATAATAGAGAGATAGGTTATACATTATTCTCCAAACTCACGCTTGCAAGTTTCTGCACCGTGATCCATGGCAAGATTTTATTCATAGAATAGTTCCCGGATGGACGAAATGACGAGACCAGTACCGATCTAGTTGCACGACGGCCGAAGGGGTATGCGCAGGTGAGACTGGAACGCTCACGGGGAAATCTCAGATCATTGGGACGGCCACATAGCCGGGTCATACCATCAATCCTGCCCCACACAGATACACAAACAAAATTCAGTCCTCAGGATACGTCGTCCCTAGTAGAGGAATACGCATACCTATTCAATAAACTGCGCACATCGCTTAGCTGAGGCATATAGGCGACAATAAACCTGACTGAAATGTATTTGCTAGACACAGAGACTGTGAGCTTGTAGTCGCTAGTCCAATATACACTCATCACACTATGCAATACTCACTACAGTCGACAACACCGCATCAGTTACAGTATTACAGTGAATGCTCACGATCGATTAAATGGGTTTGCGTGTCCAACACTGCTTATTATTACGGCAGTACTTGTTCACTATCTTCTTGAAAAGAAAAGAGGCATGGCTTGTACCCACCCCAGGCATGTGTTCAGCATCATGATAGTCTCCTTTCCATGTTGAGACACGTACGTTCTGAACTCATCAAAGCAGGGGCGCGTTGAAATCATATATTATACAGAACCATGCAGCAATCGATGTGCTACTCGCTGTTGAGGTAGAATTGGGTTGTGAACCCCGAAATGCCGCACTCTGCGGACAAAAATTAATTCAGCGATTAGTCCAGTCCAGGCATATGCATCCACAGCCCCGACCGACCCAGAACAAACCCAATTGACACCTATGTTTAATATGAATTAACTAAGTATAACATTAACTAAACGAGTGTATGTATGTTTCGTCCATGATTCGCCACTCATCACAGCAAAAACTGGAAGTCTGGGCTCTGTCAGTGGCGGTTCCGGCCATTTGAACCATATTTTGCCGTACAATACGACTAGATGGCCTGACGTGGGGCCCTCACATCTTAGAACAGTCTATATATTCAGTGCTGTATTGATACCATATCACTCTGTATTCTTTCTGTTTGCTGGACAAGTTTCTCAAACAATTTCTCGTTTTAACAGAAAGTCCAATCTTTGTTGGCGTAGCGAACATACAAACACGCCACGTATGCATTACCTACTAGCTATTTATGTCCCACCGATTATCGGGCGCCCATGCACTGTCTTCCACCATCGATAGCAATGCACTCCCCGGTGATGAACTTCGCCTTGTCAGAAACGAGGAAAGACACCAGATCTGCCACTTCCTCGGGGTTTCCTGGTTTGGGCGAGAGCAGGACGAGATTAGCGTTAGCTGATTTTAAATTTCGATGCACCTACTTTCCTTTAAGTTCTTTTTAGAGTAGATACAGCATCGGGTGAGCCAGATCATTTGGTCAAACAGAGACCTTGGGTGTTCCTAAACTAGGCAGTAGTGACGCTATTTTTCGTCAACAACAAATGCTGGGAGCATTCTGAAGGCGGGTGGCAGGTGACTCAATAAATTAACAGTGTCTGTGTAAGAGTCAGGGTACTTCTGCGCCACCCTATGTCAGCACGCGCTGAGACGTAAACATTCTGGTTTTAGACCTTGCAATACGTGTATGCGATAATGAACTACCTCAGAGAACCGTCAGTCAGACTACACGGAATAGGTGCGTGTACAGTTCATTCCCTCGGCAAGGATCAAGACACGAGTATGAATTGAGTGTCATTGTTGCGGTTGCAGCACTCACATCATAAGAGAAATTCATTTATATGACACACTCAACCGCTCGTTGGTAATACAGGCGACTACTGTGCATATAGAACTTACAGCAGTACAGCTCTACATGAATGTACGCAAATGTACTAGATACACGGAAATGTATATGTACAACCCCTGAAGCTTTCGCATACCGTTCAGATATGGCCTTTCACTCTACGTATTCATGCACTCAGCCGAAACGTACCTACTCTCCCGAGAGATTTGGAGATGGGATGTGTGATCTCGATACACCTTTTCAGGAAAGCCGCATAGGCTTCGTCATCCAGTCCAGCAGTTTGATGAATGCCCGTGACAATCACTGATGGTTGAAATGTAGACAGAGATGATAATTTCTAAGGACTTCCAAACGATGCGAGGGGAGGATTAATAAACAATCTTTCACTTTGCAGAATGAACTACGAGATACACAACCTTGAGACTGGCACGCGGCTTGGGAGGGATAGGTACACAATCGGATGCGTTAAGCTATATTAGTACGGTAATTTACACACGGTATCACTGGCCCACCTCCAGGGTTAACAGCGTTAACTCTGATGCCGTCGGGTGCCAAATCTACCGCAGCACATCGCGTGAGCTGGTCGACCGCGGCTTTCGAGGCACAGTACGACGCCACGCCCCCAAATGACTGTCAACAACACGGGGAAAATTAGCGCAAAATCATGGAATACTTATCAAGGGAAGGCTTATGAAATGTTTTGTAATGCATTCCGCCAGGTTATATAGGTACATGCACTGGACTTCGTCACCACCCACAAACCTACATACGTATAAGAGGCATACGTTCGAATACATATGATGACAGACAAATTGTCCCGACATAGAGCTGAGGACATCACCACCTTACCGTGAAACATGCAGCTTGCCTTGGTGATATTTAAGCTTGATTCAGAGAAAAGAGAGGTGCACAAATACCCATTTGTAGCCGTCATGCCATGTATACATCAATACTATTACATTATGATTGACATGCACCAGCGCGAAATCGACTGATAGAGCTGCAAGAAGAGTTCCAGATCCACCGGTTGCACGTAGGATAATAAAATTATGCCCAGGCTCAAGCTTGTAGACGCAATACATCCAATCGCTTGTAGAAATATTGCGTACCTGTTTACCGGTTACACTGCTCATATTGATGATACTAGGGCTACTGGAGACACCTGATAGTTTCAAACAATAATCACGAGCGAGAGCTTCAATCAGTTCAGTGCTTGTGTGGGTGCCGATTAGTGTGCACTCAAACCTAACCAAGGTGAGCAATTGAGAGATTGTTATAGCAACATCCTAAACGATCAAACGCTCGCAGCAAAGCACAGTCTAACTAGGAGTATGGGCTCAGCCACATAGCAGGATATCAAGTAACTATGATATAAACTACAAGTAACTATGATATATACTACCAATAATTAAGATATAAACTACAAGTAACTATGATATAAACTACCAATAACTATAATATAAACTACAAGTAACTATGATACAAGCTACAAGTAACTATGATACAAACTACAAGTAACTATGATATAAACTACAAATAACTATGATATAAACTACAAATAGATATAGCTACAAATAACTATGATAAAAACTACAAGTAACCGTGATAGAAACTACAAATAGCTATGATATAAACTACAAATAACTATGATATAAACTATACGTAACTATGATATAAACTACAAGCAACTATGATATAAATGACTCCAAGGCACATACCGGCTTTTCTCAGATGCGGAATGCTATGCTCCATAATTTCAAATACGGTTTGAACGTTGAGCTGGAAGTTGAACATGTAGTTATCCAGCCCAATCGACCCCATTGCCCCGCCCTAATATGTGGTGCGTGCAAAAGAATTGAGCCAAACAGATGTGAGATACACCTTCTTAAATAGTTGAGGTATGTTGACAACGTTACAGGTTCATTTCTTGGTATACAACAATAGGTTATAGCTTTAACATGCTGTCTCAATGTGTCTTGTAGTAGCCAACCTCTGCTGCTAATGAAGTAGACGTGATAATCGCCCAAACACGGTACCTTTTGTACTTTGACTCCGTTCCGGCACTTGTTAGTCGAGCAAGGAAGCATTGAGAGACACAATAGGGAGTGCCAAATGCTTGGGGCCTGAAAGAGTAGAGATTACTCAACAGTGCGGGACACAGAACGCAGACCACATGAAGGACAGGCCTACATATGCACATATACAACATGATTAAATATATATTCAGTTCCAAATTACCACCGGACAGACGTCATCAGTGCAAGTCCAGTACACACTCATGACCCTAGGACTGGGCGCACATTTATGAGCCTTGATAGCAATCGTGCGTCCATGGGCCACATGCACCTCTACTACACTCAACCCATACATTCCTACATGACACACAGCGCACCTTTAAAACCCCGGCACAGTTAACTACACCCGTAATTCCTCCTAAGGTCTCCGCTGCGGAGGTGACAACTCTCTCGCACTCGCCTGCCTCCGCGAGATCGGCTGTGCGGGACCAAGCAAGTGACAGTTGAGCAAGGCGTGGTTCAATAGATGTGCGGTTGAGAAAGAACGAACACTAGCACACCGGGTAGTTACATGCGTGCTATAACTGTACCTGCACGTGGGGCACAATGGACGGTGTACCAGGACTAGATATATACAAATCAGCGCTGCAGACCTACGCCAGTATGTGAGCTATCCACGCGCGATGAAATATACAAAGTATAGCAGGTGGACCTACGAGATACACATTTGTGTGATCGGACTAAGATCGCTCGTAGATATAGTATTCGGTTTGCATACACTTGCGCATATATTTAGAAGACAAGTTACAACCCTGCATATAAACAAAAACTAAAAAAGCATAACATACGCAAATTTCTGATGCTGAAAGATATTCATCTATGCTTGAAGTGTTAAGGGATGGCGTGTTGAGTGTACCGGCTGTGAGATAGCAATTAAGACTCGTGCAAGAACTAGGTAGCTCTGCCCCAAGTAACACAAGGATACCGCACTCGAGTAAAGCGTTTACGCATGGTTGAATGGCTTAGGACGACGATTGTTACAAATGTGACAGTCGTGCGCTATAAAACCACTGTCATACTGCTACTGGCGTGTGAGCAAGTGAAAACCTTTGGCAATGTTGATGTCAAATACATCCTATCCGCAGTTCAAATGTATATACACGCTTTGCGCGAGCTTCGTAGTGGATTTAACCCCGAAACGCCAATTCGGAACAAATGCAGGTAGAAGAGTACACCACTCACAAAATACGACCATAGCCGAGACATCACTAACCAGATCTTTGTAGTCAAATTGTAGTCAAATTAGACTCGCTGTATTTGAAAGCATCGACTAGTGTTCCCAACTCACGAGGCTAAGCTTGTGTACGTACCTACGACAAAGTCATAGCAACCACCGGATGATTTTAGTTCGTTGAGTGCAGCTACATTCCGACCGGTGGCTACAACCTTTGCACCTACAACAATGAGAAACAATTTGTTAGCGCAGGTAGTAAATCACAACGCGCGAGGACCAATTTTAGTTCACACAGTACAGAAGTAGCCAACCGCCCAGTACATTTGTGGTTAGCCCGTTTATATATGCGGCATCGACTTCTTGGCCTGCTTAACAACAGTACGCATACTGAATATAAATAGGAAAGTAGTGCTACCAGTATACTTGTTTGAGCATAGACGTTGGCAAGCCCTCGGATTTCTGGTTACTCGCGTGACTATCACTTGAACAGAGACCGAGTAAGAAATAAGCATTGGGCAGTTTAAGATATATGTATAGTTGGTATGAGGAATACACAAAATTGGTTAACACTAGACCTTCATTACGGAATCATTTACAAACCTGAACTTGATGCACAATAACACTATTCTTGAGATGTACCAACTAGATATACATGCACATGCAAGCTTTGCACACGTCAGCTATAGATGCGCTGACTTGTAGGTACTCACTATCTTGTTTCAGGCACGTACGATATACTTGAAATAAATATGTGACATAGATGTCTTGGTTTAACTATGATATTCGTTCACATATGTGCGGGAATATAAATCTCTCCCAACTGCGGATATGTTACACTGTTACTGTGCAGCTGGCAGAGCATACGATATTCGTGCACAGCCTAGAATATAGGTATTACGAGTGGTACGAACATCGAAGTTTGAAAGTTGATTGTTAGCGAAAGATGCCTCGATATATGCATTCCGAAGAGTTGCAACAAATAAGTAAGCAAGTGGATTTCTAGGGAAATGTCCTCCTTATCCACATACCCTCACGTGTAAGAACCTGGGCTACGGATCGTCCGATACCACTACTGGCGCCGGTGACAAGGATGAGCTTTGAGCTAAGCATGGCGGATGGGACCGTGAGAAGATTGGCTTGGAAGTTATACTAGAGTGTGTCTACACGAGTGTGCAGCTAGATAAATATATATTTAGAAGAGGCTACGTTTGTATTTTTTTAAATATAAAATGTATGAAAACCCAAGAAAGCCAAGTAAATACTAACGTAGCTTTTAGACATCTGTAGTCAGCCTGAGATCGAATTAACGAGGTTCGCCAAGCAGTGTGTGGTTATAACCAAGGATTCACTGGCTGCACTGGTTGCATATATATATATGCTAAGCTATTATAAATTTTACATAGTAGCATTGTATGTTTCACCCTTTTGCTTGACACGGCGGCGAAGCCCGTGTTTTCATCGCGTAGTGAATGCGCTGAAGCTGTGAGAAATTGTCAAGAGTCGCTGCTTGGCTCAACAATGTAACTAACACCTTATGTCTATGTCTGTATTTTGCACCTGGTTGTCCAGGAAGTTGAAGATCTCCTGAACACACAACTACGTACCCATAGTCATCACTTCATAAGTAGCTGTCTTTATTTCCTATTTTTTTGGCACGGCCGAATCTGAATAGACCATTAACACTAGAGAAACACGAAGACGCAGTTGATTCAACCTGGGTCGCAGATGCGATACACATACTTGTAATAATGCCGCCGGCACTGCGACAGCCATATGTGATTGAGAAGCCGGTATTCTAATTGAGGTTATATGAGTAGTAGCTGATGTGTACAATAATTGAAGCACGCCTATGCGGAAAATATTAATACGAACAGTGACGAAATCATCTCGGTATTTATTCAGTCAATATACCTCTGTTTCTTTGTAAAACCAGCCTACTGGTTGTTATCCCCTGCAACTTCATATACGATGTCATAGGTCATCCCGCCGTTTATGTATCGAACGTGTCTCAGAGTTACACACCTTGGGCATGTATCCCTGTGTGCATCTATCAGACCAACAGGGGAATGCTATGCCCCTCTTCCCAAATTGGATAGCACTGGCGAGAATCTTATCCGAGCCTGTTATGACCAAGAAACCACAATGCTTGCTACAAATGTACAAAGTACCCAACCCAAGTTATCGTCTCGCCTTTCAGCTCTAAGCATTGCAGTAGTCGCCCCTCGATATATTATACAGCAATCTCACGTTCCACTCCATGTTACAATTTCTGTTGGCTATATAAGAAAACCCGCTCGTTTATTCTTCATCCGTGGTATCGCTCTTGTAGCTTGTGTCAATCGCGCCGTCCGGAAATATTCCTTGATAATATATGATACTTTGAGAACCAGATACCAGCTTGTATCTTGCATATATCACCAGACTACACTTATCGTACTTTCAGTGGCGGTAGGAGGTATCTTGAAGACCATAGCTTTGCGCCAGCGGTTCGTCGATTCCTACCAGTTTGTTACTTGTTTATAGTGACTGCCTGTGGTAGTGGTCGATTCAGCTGCCTACTTATACATATACATTCATGTTAATCCATAGGAACATATATGGACAAGTATGTGTACATGATCTGTATGTTTAAAATCAAAAATATATAATTTCTACTCACGGGTGGCATAAGCTGCTCGATAAGCTGTTGCTTCTCTGCAGTATGCCGTGCATACTTCGACTGCGATTGCTCGTCACTGACTTTTGACGTTGGTATCCCATAAGGCTCTGACAATCCCCTTACGGAGCCCATCCAAATATATCCATACACACACACATATATGTATGTACATACATACATATGCATATGTATATGCAATATATATATATATATATATATATATATATATATATATATATATNTATGTGTGTGTGTGTGTGTGTGTGTGTGTGTGTGTGTGTGTGTGTGTGTTG